CGTTTCGTGGATCACGTACGCCTTTTTCCTTCGAAGGAAATGAAACAACCTGAATATGGAAAATCCTGGTGCCGACCTGTTCTGCGCTGGTATATCGACGTTGGCACAATGAAAGTTACATAAGCTTCAACTTTGTTCGTCATGAAAAAGAAAAGGATGGAAGTAAAAGAAAAAAAAAACGGATCATACTTTTATTAGCCAGGAATTGTGCTTGCTATTGGATACTTTTACTTACTATTTAACTTACGATACATATATTAAATTTGTGTTGCGCGATGGCAAAATGAAGACACAAATATATTGTTAGTATTATTAGAATGTGAATCGCGAAAAAAGAGAAAAATAAAGCGAATCTTGTTTTTATCGTCCAATTACGTTACCTTTTTATTGTGTATTTTCGTGTCGAACGTGTATACGTGGGTGGTAAAACAGAGACACGGACATGTTATTACGTTATTGTGATCTGAGTCACGAAAAAGAAGGAAAATCAAGTGAATTCAGTTTTTAGTAACCAGACGCTACCAATAGATCATTTTCACTTGCAATATATCAAATTTGTATTTTAAAAATTTATACACCATCGCTCAAACATATTTGGACATAGAATTTTGTATAAGAAAATGAGTTCATAGAGCAAGAAAATACATGCAGTAATTAGTTAAATTTAATATCGAATAATACCGCCAGTAAATGAACTTACCAAATAAAGGAATATGTATGTATATGTATTCTAAGGAAAAATGAGACAATCAGCTACACATATCTTATAAGACATCTGTGGTATGTCAATCCATTAAAGACTGATCAAGGAATCGTCTCGGGAACACAATTTCACTGTTTTACGTTTTAACTGCGTACTCGTGAGAATCAGAATCACGAGAATACGAGAGTACGAGAATATCGTACTTAGAACTCGTACCACTCACAATCAATATATACATTCTACTATAATCTCAAAGTGAATATCATTCGAGTCGTTTCCATCAGGTGATCGTTAACTACGTAAGATTGAATCATCTAATAGTACTACATTTATATACAACGTAGTAATTAATAGGAAATAATCGTGTCAGGGTAGACGTAAATTTTTCATCTGTGTTTACAGAACGAAACGTTTTTTCCTTTCCCTATTTCTCGTGACACTTCGATCCTTCTCGAGTATATTGAAAAGAAAATTGCTAATGGACAGTATCATACACGTTGATAACAAAATTATTTGTTTTGGTATTATATGTTTGAATACGAGAATTTAAAGAACTATGAAAGTATCTGCCCAAGTAGTATAGATCGTGCTATAGTGTGACTTTATAGGGTAAAATCACCCTTTGGAAAAACGTAAAATCTTCTTTCTCGTCGATATCTTAAAAAAATTATAAGAAAATTGAATAAAAATCGTGGCATTTCTTATGTGTACAGAATGGTTGGAAACAATAGTAAAAAAGGTTTTGTTTGTAATATTTTAAATATTTTATAGCCAATTTTTAAATTCTTAAATTATTTTTGTCTTACTGATTCGTATACGTGTATACTTAATAGCTCTCATTTCTCAAATTATTATCTTATTATTCATTCATGTCACTGATTCCATATTTAGCGATTTATGTATTTAAATTTAGAATATTAATTTATATTTTGCTTTGAGCAAGATGTACTGCACACTTGACGTAACTACGATACTCTTGCTATCAACCGTAGAAGCCACTTGATAATTTCGCGACATCATTTTAAATGAAATTAGGTTTCGTAACTGATGCCGTGACTTTATTTCATTCACATCGAAGAACGTAGGAAGTAATTGGATATAACTTCTTATTTCATCTCCTTTTTTTTCATATTCAGTCTATATTTGTCTTTTCAAAAAACATGCTATCCATAACGATATATTTTAAAATATTGGTACTTGACAAGTCTCTCCTTTTTATTTCCACAATGGTTTATCAATAACGATTGCAATTGTTTTTAACATTAGTGACAAGATAAACAAAAGTGGTAATTTGAGACTAAGAGAAACGATAATTTATTTTATCAATCATTTTTTTAATTGGAACGATCTTCTGTCTGATTCGAGATTAACGAAATTGACGAGATTAATATTGATTGTTATTGAAACAGAAATATGATTGTGCGCATATAAAATCATACTAATGCGTTACATACAATGCAATATGTTGATTAAAAATTTTGTTCGGTAATGTATTGCTAAAAAAAAACATACAAAGAAGAAAAACATACGATTTCACAGTGAAATGTATCTCGATATATGTATAGATGTAGAAAGCGGATGCATCTGTGAGTGTCTGTGCGTGTAAGAAGCAGTCAACGAGTCGAAGGTGAAAACCATTGCGGAACCGTTGCCAAACCGTTAGGCTGCTTTCACACGGAGATACGCGTATCGCGATACATGTATCGTGAATTGCTTTCCGTGTGAATGTCGCCACTTGTTTTAATGTTTCGTCTGTTCCCTTCATACGAAAAGTATCCTTGCCAAGATACACGAAATGAGTATCACGACAGTGCGTTTCAGGAAAATCGTTGTGTGAACGCCTCCATTGGTATGTTCATATATGTTTGTACATGTTCATATATTCAGTATCTATCATACGCGCATCGCGACGATACGCGATCAGGCAACCGCGACTGGACGACCGCGACCACGACCAGGCTAATCGGTAGAGTCGAATCGAAAATGAAATAAACTAAAAAATCAAGAGTCGAATTGCTGAAGAAAGTCGAAAGTTGTGCGCGGAGTTTAACGGTTGCTCAGCGAGAGAAACGTAAGTGAGTTGCGATACCAAGTGTTGTAACCGATCGCGTTAATTGATATACTGTGGGTGTAAAAGCATTCGCACATTCTTTCAAACGGAATTTTAATAAAATGTTCAGCATGTATATAACATAAAATCTGCAAAATCTACTTTTGAAATTTTCATTATAGGCTCAAATGAAAAATTTGTAAAAAGTTACTTTTACTATTTTCTTCGCGAGTCCGATCGACTGTAACCTCCTCAAGAACTTTTTCCACGTCGTTTAGTAGACTAATTCTTCTAACTTCTCAGAAAAAGCTCAAATCTGGCCCAATTTTTGAAAAGTCGATCTATTTTAAAGAATGTACGAATGTCTTTCACGTCTGTCATATGTGTTAGATTGTTGTAAAAGTTTCTTTCGTTTTATAAGGAAATAATAGAACAAAATGGAAATGGATCACACATAATTCAATAAAATAATATAAAACAAAAAAAAGGTTGTGCGTTTATTATTTCCTTATGAAACGAAAGAAACTTTTGAGACAACCTAATACTTTTAATTATAATTATATTATACTTTAATCGCAAATTAAACATCGTTCCTCATTCACTCCTAATCTTAAATAAATCCACCGAAATAAACTATACTGAATAAAATTCCTATTTAATGTACGAATTTGAAATGTCCCTTTTTCCTTAATTTCAATGTTATATAGATAAGATTATCATAAGAAACGTGCATTGGAAGCAGCATATGCGCAAAATTTTTATTTCTTCTTGAGCACGTACAGATAATCATATTTCTTTTCACGATAAGAATGATTAATACCGTTCTTAACAATTACATAGAGCATAAAAATAACGTATTCTTAATATGCTTTTCTTGTCCATTAAAAATCGAAGAGAAATATGAAGAAACCGATGAAATCTACCAAAAATTAATCATCGCTTTATCGAACCTTACAATTAAATTCGACCAAGTACTAAACCATTTCAACGACACGCTGTTGCTGCAAAAAAAGAGAGAAAGAAGACAAGCATAAAATGTAAAACTGTAACAATGTAACGTAAAAACGTCTTGAACACTCGAAAATTTCGTTCACGTGAATCCGTGATCTTGAATCGTAGTTGATCCCAAAATCTTAGAAGATATTTGCAGATGACAAGATAGAGGAAACGTGTTTGTCAGTGAATTGGGACAAATCTGGCGCCGTTGAGGCAACATTCACGTCTTGAACGATATATTGCCCCCCCATTAACAACGTGTGACACGTGAAATACTCGTTGTCATTCGTTAGTAGCCAATCAATAGCTAATTCTTTTTTATCTCGTAAGTTTTCCTTCCTTTTTCTTTCTTTATCGTTAGAGTAATATGATTTGATTATTTGAAGTACCTTGGTTCTTCGGTTCGTGACATTATGTAATTTTCTTTTACGTTAATATATCGTGTGTATGTTGTATATAAGATATGCATGTGTGTATTGAAAAATAGAAATTGTAAAATAGGAAATTTACATAATCTTCCGCATTCTGAAAGTTAATCAATTATATCAGTATTAAGGAAGTATAGAGACTTCGAATTCCTACAGAAATACAAATTTCTAGAAATTTGTAAGAAATAATACCGAGTTTGTGGTTAGAGTGAAAAAGTTGAACATCTGTATTAATATTAAACTGAAAACTTCAATTTATATTTATTAAGAATTTTTAATATTTCAGGTATATATCTGAGTCTTTATTTACTATTAATATTAATATTAACATATTCCATTGAAAACCATATCTTACGATTTAATGTCTTAGAAATATTACACTGCACGAATTTTTCTACCTATTCTATTAACAATATTTCTCTATTTAAATTTAAATTTAAATAATCTTAAATCTATTTTCATTCACACAATAGATTTTTAATCATTTTATATCATTAAATAAAATTTTAATTCCAAGTATCTACGATAATAAAATTTCTATCTGTAATGGTACAATCAAGTAAAAATTTCAAGCTTTTCAGACGAGTATTTCTCTGAACTTCCCAATGAAGGTAAATTAAGATTGATCAAAATTTAGTTAAATAGATCCTTGAGTACAGCCTCAATTCCCAGTTATTCGGTACAATCCTCAATTGTTTCGAGTTATATATTACGAAGGCGTTCGCGACAGTTCCAACAGTTAATTTTAATTTTCCAATTGTTAACCTCTGTCGCTTCTACATTGTACTTCTGTTAAATTCATATACGTATTGTCTTATTGCAGTTCACGGAGCGCCGAGTTACGATGTCACTAGCGTTCAGTCACGATTGGAGACCAACGAGGTGATTCATAAAGTTAATAACAACCACCAACAGCCGGTCGATTTGAGAAACGATGATCGTGACGATGGGCAAACGCTCTATGTGATCGAGTTCGAGTCTGAATCGAACGAGAAAGAAGAAAGGAATAAAGGGAAAGACCCGTCTCTCGGTAAGTAGTGATTCATCTTTACGGATCTTAATTGAGAAAGTCAGAAGGGCGAAAATGATTTCTTCTATTGGTTTAAATAGTAGAAACGCGATACAAGTGACGAAACATTTAATTCGAGAATATCGTGGATACAATTAATTCTAATAGAGGAATCTATATATCTCTTACACTATTATTTTCTATACTGTGTTTAGTATAAGCTAAATTTTTATTTGATTCTGACAGAAAAACAATTAATAATACTCGATTGCTTACGTGTTGATTAATGTACATTAAAATGAATTTCTTTTACTTACGAGGAAAAAATTATGACCAGTTACAATCTTTCACTTTTAATGGAAAAATTGAGAATCGAGAACTATTATAAATTCGCAAAGCAATAGATATAGTACGAGAATAAGGATATAAAATAATAATTGAAAAGTATAAATATCAGATCGTGTAGTATTACAGAAAATTATAAATTGTAAATTAAATTATAAGCGTATTCTTGTTTCTTGCAGTATATATAAAGCACGATAATCATTGAAACAGATGATAATAAATCTAATCACTATTTATCAAATGTTAGCATTTATTTTAGGGTTGTACATAAATCTTGTATCCATCACTCTACGTACATATTTAATAGCACAAATTTAGATTGCTTGAAATGATTCAAGAAGTTGGAGATAGTAGATTCTAAATCACATTTTGATAGGATATTCGATTCTACATGTGTTCTTTAGTTTGACGATATAAATGCCTCGGAGCAATGAGAGGGAACACATTTTAAAAGGGAGAAATAAATTAATTCTTCCATACTTTAATTATCTCAAGTCACTTGACCGTTTCAATCATACAACAAACCATCTGTAAGACACCGGATTCTCAGTGAACAGATAAAATCAACAAACTAATGATCTCCCAATTACTTAACAATCTTAAGGTTTTAACCAACGCAAGACACGATTCTAATTTTATGCGCAGCATTTTATTAGTATCTTCTGTGACCCAACAGTGCGTATCAACGAGTTAACAACACGATCAGGCAACCGCTCGTTTGCATATAAATCTTGTATCCATCATTCCACGTACGTATTTAATAGCACAAATTCACGCAACACGATCGTTAGTGTCACGCATAAAAATTCGTTTGCCGATTTTAAAGGCTTTACTGATTATCTCGAAAACTTTTCTCGTAATTTATATTCCATCATCGTAGCAGGATCTTACACGAAACATTTCTGATCATTCGTGACCAAATTTGATGCCTTCGTTTGCTCAAAATTTCAACCTCGTACATTCTTTGGACTTCTTTTTTTATCTTTCTAGTATCTTCTTTCGACCAATACAGTTTTTTTCGTATAGTCAGTTCTATTTCAGTTCTTCTTCAGTTCCCTCTCTCTCTCTCTTTCTCTCCCAGAAATAATTTTATATTATTTTAATTTGTTTGAAATTGAATATTCCACTTATATTGTCTTTGACGATAAAAAGTAAAAGAGAGAAAAATATATAACCTTTTTCTTTTTGGAACAAAACCCATATTCTCAAGAAATTCTTTTGTGGAAGTATGCTGAAATTGTTGATCGATCTTATCACAAAAATTTGTTTAAATTCAAAGAATGAATATTAATACGAATGACATTTGATTTCTCCTTCGGTCAGTTGATTATCAATGTGAGACATCAGACGCATAATTGATTATTATTTATGTTTTCAAATGGTTAGTCGAACGTATTAATAGAAACTGATTATTTAATCGTGAATCACCGAATGTAATTTGCATAAGATCTTACGTACAAGCAACTAGTGATTGAAATAAATCAATTCCAGCATTGATTTAGCGTAAATCATTAAGGAATTTATTGCAGTAAACTAACTCTCCAAATGGTACCATAACGAAAGACGTCAGCAGAGTAAACCAATAACTGCTTCTCCTGTGTATCTGTCTGTAATCTATTGCTTTAGATTTACGTATATACCTACATATACGTTTCAGATCGCTTGCATGTTATTTTATTACGTGCATTTCTAAAATTTAACATATTCTAAAATTACCTATTTCCCCAAAATGAAACCAGTCGAAACTTAAACGATACACGTATGAAACAGTAAAATTATTATACAGTTAATTACATGAATGAAAATCATGTAAAATTTATCACATCCTATACACACAATACGCATCCTTTAAAATCCCCATCAAAATTAAATCCTACTCATAAATTACATGTATTAATATAATTTTATTTTTCAATAAACTTTCTATAGGATTGCCGCTGATTGCATATATGTAAATATATTACATAAATCCTTTGTCAGAAATATCTCTTTATTTGCATGGGTTTTGCAAATTTTCTAACCGTTATAAAAAGAGGTCGCGACTTGGAAAAGATTGGAAAATATCATCACAGATATTCTTTGTTCTTATTCTCTTGGGTGAAGCAATAGAACCTTAGGTATATTATCACAGTATCATAGTATTAAAATCATGTTCACCTAACAAATCCTCTAATTCTTTTAAGCTGTGCATCTTGCTATAAAGGATTATTATAAACATTTTATTAACTCGTCCGTTCCTTTTTTCACAGGCGGATTTCTTTTTGTTTCAGTGGACAATGACGGTCAAACTCCTCTAGACCCATGGTCGATCGTGTGGTACATCGGATCCTTCGGAGGTTTAGTCGCCTTTTTCCTAATCGTCAGTTGTTCAGAATGGTGTTGTCGTCGTGGTGGACGACCGTTAACAGTTCCCTATGCTCAACGAGCTGAAGCAATAAACGGACCTGTAGTAACAGAAACACCGCCTCCGCCGTATCATTTATTCGCACCACCGCCATACGATTCCGTAAATTACGGTGAAATCGTGGACAAAACAGCCGGAGAAAAATTGGACATCTACGTGATATCCGTGCCGATTCATAGACCCGTGGTCGAGGCTCCAGCCTAAGGTTTTCCCAAAGAGTTCCTCGAACAGAGGATTGCGGCCGAATCAAAATCGAAACGACAAAGAAGAAGAAGAAGATATAGTGTATTGTGTCGCTTCTGAAGGATTTGTCGAAGCTTCCTCGTTGGTATTCCCCTTTAACCGGGGACATTTTGACAATCGTCTGCTGATCCATGTGCAGGGTTCGTTGAAAACGAGCTGTGGATCAAGAAAGAATGTAGGACGAGCTTAATGAATGTGTATCGTGTTGGTTGAACTTTGAGAACGTTTTAAGTATCGTGAACACTCGAAAGGACGAATAAAACTCTTGCTCATGACGAAGATAAGCTTGACAAATATGTTGCTCGGATCCTGCAGATATTTTAAGCATCGTGAATAGTTGAAAGGACAAACAAGATATCTGTTCGTGATAGAGAAAATACTCTTCGTAAGACATGTTGTTTGAATTTTGTGTAACTTTACTTGAGGATAATTTGAATATACGTATGATGAGTCTTTGAAAGGACGAAGAAGATTCTTGTTCATGGTAGAAGGAACAAACAATCTTCTCGAATTATTAATTGCATCTAGGAACGAGAAAGCACGAGAAGAAGCTTCGAATCTCTACGACGCTCGACGAAAATCGAGTTCATAAGAAATCCCCGAGAGGGAAAATTTCAACGCATTGTTAACGAATATTTAAAGAGAAACTCTCTATCTTTGTGAGTGTGGGCGAAGAAAAACGAAGTCGATGAACAATTAATTAAAGCAATTAATAGGGACTTAAAGATACCAGCGAGGGAGAAAAGCAAAAACGATTATGAGAAATCTCATCGTACACTCCGATGTAGGTCCAACTGAGAAGCAATGTTCTCTGTGATGAAGTTCGTGAAGCGAACTGAAATTAGAACTAGAGACAATCTTTTCGCGTGTGCTTTTAAAGTAAACCCGTTGTACGGGTGCCAATCAAGGAACTTTACTTTCTCCTTTCTTTAAGTCGAGTGAAAGATTAACAAGATGCAAATAACGTGTAAATCCAAGCTCGATCTCTTTCGAGGGACGAGCAAAGAATTAGAATGAATCGCGTGTTTCCATTAAGTACTTTTAACACTTTAAACGAATTATTTATCCAATCACTGCCTGATCAGGTGAATAATTGAAATTTGATAATCCTTCTAATCCTTCCAGCTTATTAACCCGTGTATACGTTGATTTTTGCGCTCGACTCGTCCTAACTAGTTGAAAGAAGAAAGAAACTGCCATATTTTCGTACACTGTGCTCGTTATTCGTTATCCCTCGAGATCTACAACGCCATTTTTAACCCTGCTGCGTCCTTTCTTCGACTCACTCGTGATTTCTTTAGAATAAACAATTTTTTAAATATAGAAAATTTCTCAAAGTTATAATAAAATATAAAGGAGTCGTTATTGATATACATAATTTCTATTTTTAATTTAATGTCAGAATCTTTTTTAAGGTATTAACCTGTTAATAGGGGGAAATGAATCATTTACATAAGTAAATTATTTATATAAGTAATCTTATTTAGTAATTCTATATTTGTTTAGGTATAATTTCATGTTTGCTACAAATAAATTATATGTATAAGAATTGCGCGAAGAAAGCATGATAGATCGATTTTTGTTAATTTTCTAATCTCTTATAATAGTTATAAAAATTTCTGGCTGAAGTGCAACCAGGTTAACAAGCTAAAAGTGAGGTTTATTTAACGAAACAGGAGTAATATTGGAACATGCAAACTCTGTGATCGCAGCAGGGTTAAGGAACTACAAAAGCAACGCACAAAGACAAGTTCAAATGACGAAGTTGGTCGTTTTCTTCGCGCTCCTACGACGTCACTTTTATTTTTGCATCATTCAAACTCGACCGAAAAATCAATCAGATCACCCGCGATGAAGTAATTAAATTGGCATTTAATTCATAGGTTGAAATAATTGCAAGATCATACAGAGAAATTCAAAAACTTGTCTAGTATATTGTACGATTTGGAAATTAAACGAAAATATTTGGGATTATTTATGTTTATTTTCGAATTATTAAAGTACACATGGTCTTTTGATTATTCTCAATAACGTGATCTACAATAGGCACTTTTCTTAATCCTACTATGTTCTTTGGATTATTTTTAAGTAAATCATTCTTTTCTATTGTTAAAAGATTTTTTATTTTTGATAATAAGTATAAAAGAATCGGTAGAGATTTTTCTTAAAGTATTAAAAATCTTTTTATTTGTCGAAATAAATGATATAAAAATGTGAAAATCATAGCAGGGTTAAGTCAGGTCTTTTTTAAATATAATTTTACTACGTATTGCGAAAATATCCAAATGCTTGCAATCGACATATACGTTGAAAATATTTCAAGAAAATTTAAAAGACAAACCGATAACTATTTCTAACTTCATTACAGAATCATGTAAATGATGTCGACATAGAATACTTCATAACGACTACTATGTTTTATCTAGCATCTCCTTATTTTTCAAAACATGTCGAAATATTCGAAGTTCATCGTGTCTTCTTTTTACCTTTCGATCAAAGTTAAATTATACAGACTGTTACAAGACAATGATTAAATATTTTAAATTGAATGAAAACAAACAGATATTACAATTACAATGGATGATACAAGGAGAATGATAAAAGATCAGTCTTCTTCAGTTTCGAAATGATACATAGAACATTTTAAATTAAATTAAGCTTGAATCGAAAAAAATTACAATCAAATATGGATAGATGCTTCCTTTAAAAGCAGGAAAAAAGATATGATGGTTGAAATGTTCGGTTGCAAGCGTTCCGCTAATTACACCGTATCTCTAATCAGAGCCAATTACAACTGCGATTCTTTATATTTTTTTCTCGTTTTAACGGTAACTCAACTCTTCTTCCGGGTTGTGTATGTGTACAAGCGTTGCATAAGAGGGCGCGCGTGTAACTCGCCTCGCAACCTGAATGATCTATCAACGGGACACGTGTGCGAGAAGTTCGAATAATTTCTAATATTGCTACACGCGATTGACCTCAATCGCGATCGTTACAAGTCCGACAATTGCAGACGATCATATACATAGATTACGAGTTGACTGCCATAAAAAGAATTTAACCGAAGGGGGTCACGAAAACAGTTCGTGAAATATTCATGCGATTATGTCTCGAGGGAAGGACGATCCTTGTACATGAAAGCGTTTAAATACTTGCAGAAACATTTTATGAATATATGTTATACGAAACATTTGAAAATGTCATTAACACTGTAACAAGAGCCAACTATTATGATTATATTGGTAAACTGAAACAGATCTGAAAATATATGTATATGTGTGGAAGTAATAGATAGGATAGATATATAAAATGTGTAAAAATGGCAAAAAAAAACATGTTATTATATTATTATATTACACAATACATCTCAATGTTCAATAATAGATAGAGCATCTTTAGAGCTTATTATATATTCAAGGTAGCTATTCCAGATGAGATATACTAATTTTTTATTAAATATATGTTTGCAATAAATGAGCAATTCAGAAACCACATTGATTAATTTCATAAATTGAAGAATACAGAGAGGTGATGATATTACAAATATTCTTTTAGATTTACCATTATATGTATATATCCTTTTCTTGCGATGAAGAAATTTATAGAAGTAAGTGCACTTACATAATGAAATTGAGAAATTAATAGAAAATGGAATTCATCAGTTTGGTTTGTAAGAGGATCAGATATCTTATAACTTCTATACTTATTTTTTAGATTTGTTTCAAACTTAACCAATACATTGATACTAGCCAGGTCTTATTGCAATGCTGGTGAGATATCAAAATATTTCATGTAACACATATAATATGTATATAAAATGCTTTTACAAGTGTTATTGACAATACTTTCGTGAGCAACTTCCTCGGGAAAACTGTTTTTAGTCTTCTCATTTTGACGCGTAGAGCGCCTTTATAAGAAAAAGAAGTTTAGTATTTAAAATGTTAAATGTTTTGTTAGAAAAAAAAGTATTAGATATCTTAGATATTATAAGTTCGAAATACAGAAAATGTGAAAAATACTCGAAACGGAAAATTAGGGTATTACATGCGAGGAAGCCACGTATTGCGGAATCTAGTTTTATTTATGACAATGTTGTCGCATTGATCTCCGCCATTTAGCTTTAACCGGTCGATTAATTGTTCAAATAAAAGCAGAAGATAGGGAGAATTTGTATATGAATGAATGGAAGGGTGTTAGAGAAATTTATCGTACGATTACGTACAATGTCAATTATTATTATTATCGTTATTATCACTAGTAATGTTATTATCATTGAATTCGTAATCGCGTTTCCGATTGCGATTGGAGCACATTACGATGAACTTGCTCTCATTAAGGCATGCAAAATCGCAGCGCTGTCACTATTTATTTTTTATACTTTTATACATACTGTTTATACGTATTCCAACATCTCTATGTTATCAATAAAAATTTCTTTTCTCCAATTTCTACTATACGTAATAATTTTTTCATTTTTTCTCCCCGATTAATTATAACTGACTAATATTTATGCACATTCATATTCTTATGAATACAATTTAAAAAATATAACTTAAAATGGAAATTGTTTTATCTATCAAATATGTGCTTAATGTGCAATTTGACAATCAAAAAACAGTATACATACTATATATGGTATATAGGCAGCAATGATAACTTTTATAAAGGTTATCTTTTTCAAAATCTAATAACTTTCAGTACTGTTTTAAATTTAAAAATGAAGTATAAAAGTCGTAAAAATCATAACGCAATTTAGACTGAACAAAGCAAAGAAATCTGAGATAACGAATAATAATATTTAAAAATTCTTTTTGTTAAGCAAGAAAATTTTACCTGATTCGTTTGTACATTTCTTGATCAAGTAAATTTTGAAATATTACAAATTACTTACACTACAATAAGATATAAAAAAGATATGAAAAAATAAAATTTCGATATTAACGGACATTGACAAAATAGTTTTAAACGCGCATACAGGTTGACCAACGTAAAAATGCAAATTTAATTGCAATTTTAGCACATGGTCAACAACAGTCTTGACAACATAATATATGTAATTGCCTCTTACATCAGGTAACATCGCATGTGCGTTTTCATTTTTAAATTTTCAATAAAGAATTATATATTTTAAGTTTTCAAAGATTCTGTCGAAATGAAACCACATGGGTTAAACAAGAATTAATAAAACTTCTAAACATGGACAATTCTTTAACTTCGAGCTTTAAAAATATAACCTAATTATGGATTACTTAGGTGAAATAGTAGCGCTCGGAATTGATAGTATAATTTTCGGTGTTTGTTTAAAACAATACTTTCACTGCAAAAATGCAATTACAGCAGTCAAGGTAAATCACGTGTATTTCTATTATTATTATTGAATACCTAACTTTGTTACAAATAAAGTATGTTACACGTTGCATATGATAACTTAAATATTCTAACTAATATATCTTGATGTAAATTATAGTAACATGTTTAATGCTTAAAAATATCTCAAAATGTTTAGTTTCTCTACAGGGTGCAGAGTTTCATGAAGTTGGGCAACAATTGGGAGAACTCCTTGATAAAAGTTCTGATAATAAAATAGATTACATAGCAATTAGGGGTATTGTAAAACCCTTAGGAAAACCATTGAATAGCATTAATAATAAAAAATTAACTGGTGTTGTACAAAAGCTTAAAATCAAAGAACATGTTATAGCTAGAACTACTGCTGGCTTCTGGTAATATTTTTGTTTCAAATATGTTATAAAGATATAGAATTAAAAACATATGTATTTAAAACTAATAAATTTTTATTTGCACGTAGGTCAGATCAGGAACGTACTGTTCATAAAGTATATAACACTGTACCATTTTCTTTGCAACATGGAAGTTACTCCGTAGAAGTATTAGAACCATTATCAGCAGATATTTTAGATCTGGATGTGGTATCTAATACCTTTGAACCATCTGTACCATCCTTTGCAGATCATTTATGGGGGTTTTTCACAGGTAAAAAATAATTATTCATATACTGTTTAACAAAAGTTGTAATTATATTATAATTCATTATTAATCTTAGGTGTGCGCCAACGTGGTTTACAATCTACTGAAGAACTACTTCGTGAAGGAGCAGTTATGACAGGTATAGGTGAATTAACAAGAACAAAATCCAAAACACTTACATTACAACCCCCTTTAAATGGTACACCATTTTATTTAACAAGCATGTCAATTAGTTCTTTGCTTCGGAAATTAGATGAGCGTAAACGGACATATAGGTGAGTTTTGTATTTATACAATTCTCAAATATGATCGTTAATCGATTTTTTATATTTTAGATTATTATGTTTAATGTTCGGTGCTATTGGAGTGTTAATTGGTGGAATAGTTTTTCGACGTTATTGGAAGGATAGAACAGAACAAAGATTAGCAGAAGATTTAAGACAATCTTTAGCTGCTTCACGAAAAGAAAGACGACAAAGAGTAAGAGATACTGATCTTAGAGAAGATCAATTATGCGTTGTCTGTCGCACAAATCCCCGTGAGATTATTCTTCTTCCATGTGGACATGTCTGTTTATGTGAAGACTGCTCTGATGATATTACTAGTGATTGTCCAGTTTGTAGGGCACCAATTGCACAAAAAGCAGCAGCATATATTATCTAACATCAGCATAGATATCAATTTTATTACTTGATGAAAATTAATGTATCTAAGAGTGAAAAGCTAAATAAATATGAAGTGACTAAAAATGCTAATGAAACACTAACATATACTTTTGAACAATAAAATAATTATTAGAAGTGATTAAAAGTAGTACAATCTCAATTGAAATTATTTACAAATTAATAAATTTGTGTATTTTGATAATATATCCTTAAAATTCATACAAATATATTTGAAGGTATAAGTAATCGTCAAAATTCCAAATTTTTTAGTTTAGTCTTTTCATTGTTTTTGCATTTATCGTTTGTTGTAGAATCTATCACTCGTTTAACTTTTGTAGATTTTCCAATGCCAAGTTTAGGGAGTCCTCTATTTAAACCTTCTAACATAATGCAAGCTTTACAAATTTCCTGGCTAGATACAAATCCACAACGAGAACAATTTCTTTGTTCTGGTAGTTTAATACTTTCTTTTATTTGCAATGTTTCTCCTACGAAAGAAAATATATTAATCATGTATTTATATAAATATCAAGAAATAATTTTAACACAAAAATTATAATCTTATTTACCAGAATGAATGATATCCAATATAGAAGAGGGTCTGATTTTCTCTAGATCCTTTAGATATGTTCTTGCATGTCCTCTGTATGCATTTGGTGCATATATACATTCTGTTGAAAAGTATATCAATTGTTTAAAGTATGCATACATTACTATCTCTTTTTCATATGCATATTTAAGTGGCTTGCATCGTCTTATACAATCTGCTCCTGCCTATATTGTAAATAAAATGTTAATCGAAACATGTATTCACATATACATGCAACATGTACCTTTCATTTTTTTATTTTTATTTTTATTTTTTTTTTTTTGAGAAAGCAGTATACTAATTAAACTTACAGTAATAACTGAAGTACATCTTTGTAATCTTGCTATATCACCTCTTAAGATATTCATTAAAACTGTCTCTGCAATATCATCAGCATTATGGCCTGTTGCAATACAATCTACTTCTAAAAGAGCTGCGCCTCTATCTAACGCTTGTCTTCGAAATACACCACAGAATGTACAGTTATTTTTTTTGCCAATCTAAAATAAAATAAAGATTAAATAACAAGAGATTTTTGTAAGAGATTTTTATGCAAAGTTTCTATGTAAATATATATACTTCTGCCACAATTTCATCCATTGTCCACCCATATAACTCTTTGTAAGATAATATTTTTAATGGGAGTCCATAGTCATCTTTATTCTGTTGAACAGTTTTCAAACTATCATCTCTATATCCTAAAATATAGACTTCTTGAAACAAAAATTCTGAAATACTTAAACATTATAGCATAATTCTTTTTATTGAAATACCAGTTATTCCTTCATCAATGGACAAAAGAAAAAGATCAATTCCATATTGGTATCTATCGTTTAAAGTTTTCAAAACATATGCAAGTACTGTAGAATCTTTTCCTCCTGATGCTCCAATAGCTACTTTATCACCAGGTTTAAATAATTTGCCTTGTGTAATTGTATTGTGAATCTCACTTTCAAATGCATAGAAAAAACATTCTTTACATAATGCATGCCCAGTTTTAGGTCTCTGTAATTAAAGACATAATTTTTCTTTCATACACTTCTGTAATATATTATACACTAAAATTTAAATTAATAATTTAAAACAGTAACTTACTTTAAGAATAGCACCTTTCCCACACTGCTTTGAACATGGAATAGGCATTTTGTAGAATATTACACTGTTTACTTTGTTATAATAGAATGTTATAACAGAAATTTCACTGTGATAATTTAGCTTCTAGTTTATATTTTTGTCTTTCTTCTTTTAATTTTTTATTAAATTAATAAAGAACTTACAAATATTAAGCTTTTATATATGTTTATTTATAGGGGTTATGTTAAAACTTTATTAATATACGAAATTCATTTTATCACACGTACAAAAATAATTTCAATTTATTATTTAATCGAAACCAATTTTTGTTTTCTACGATGAAGAAAAAAAGAAACTTTACTAGTTCATAATAAAATAATTTTCAACCGCGCGTATAGATTTTACAATATGTATGTAACATGCGTTCTATCGAACTGATTAATCTTCTGGTTTCTCTGGAGGCGGGCCGCAAGGCTGTAGCATTTTTTCCATAAGATTGAATCGAACACGGGCTTTTGCTTCGTTTTCTGCGATAGCGAAGAAATTTAACAGATCATAATGTCCCATGTAAGAACTGCAAGAATCACGATGCTGATTTACAAGCCATTCAAACTTGGTTGTGTCAGCATGCCCTGTGCCAATATACTTTGATTGCAAATGCTCCAACTGACTATGAATGTTGTATCGTTCTCCCATATTCTAATTTTTCAACGATAAAGATTAAAGCTTAATGAAAACTTTGCTTTTACTTACTTAATATTTAATACTGTTTGTCGCTATCGAATCACTATCAACCATGGAACAAGAATTTCTCTTAAATATGTAGACATACATTACATCTTAAGGTAGAGGGCGCCTCTATCAGTAAACACATAATGCAGACATTTCGTGTATTTAACAAATTTTAACATAAAATAATAAAATTGTAAGATTGGAGAAATAGAATTATACAAAAAGATATTTTAATATGTATCTAAAATAAGTATTTATTGGTTATAAATGTAACAGTATATATCTTTTTATATTTGTTCATATACATATCTATCTCATATGTTTCTTACATTAGTTTGAAAACAATACAAAACAAATCAATATTAATTAAATATAAATATTTAAACCATGAATTTAAAATCTAATTCGATAATATATGTTATATAACTATGTGGAGATATGTTATTAATATGTTTCGTTCTACATTTATAATTCTTGTATTTGTCTCTATTCTCTCTAGTTTGATAATGATGATATTTATATTTATATACACACATAACAAATAGATTTATTCCGACCAATCGCATCGAGTATAATAATATTCAAGATTATTCCGCAATTCTGTATACTCCTTACCTAGCCGCAAGAGTGCAGCACTTATCGCTTGTTACGTCAGACAATAATGACGTGCTAATGGTTAATGGCTTCTACTTACTTGAGCTACCTTTATGAGAAAGCCAAATACAATCCAAAGAAAATTCATGAGATATGATGCATCGGCTAGTAAAACTATAAAAATATGATTGCCTGAACACTTAATTGTTACGATAGCTATTAATTTTTATCAAATTTTACTCGTGGCCTACGAAATATGTGTTAAAACTGTTTACTGAGCAACGAACGTAACCATTGTATTCATCGCTACATTGGATCACCTCGATGCAAAGAAACTCAACATTCAACGTGTTATTACAAGATTTATATTGCACGTGAGTACTTATACGAGACATCGGCTTATAGTTCCGTTAAAAACATTGACTAACTTTCTTTTGTGAAAAGTGGGCAACTCCCTTGCCACCCAGTCGTTAACAATGGCGGCTATATTAGTTCGGCCGAAAAATTCTTTTCTGCAAAATATTCTTTAAACCGGAAAGTCATAAGTTTGTACTCGATAGATTTTTATTTTTACCTTGGAAATAAGGAAGTTTGTTAAAAATTACCGTTTTCCACTATACATATCGAAAAATCGTGCCGTTCGGAAATACTGTTACGTCGACTAATCTATGTATGTGGATGTATGTACGTATCGTCATACGTATGCGTATTATTGTCCATGTGTGTATAATGTCCATGATGATGTGTTGAAAGTATTAAGGAAAGCTGAAATATAATGCATATAATAATGTTCAAACCTTTTGGTTATATCAATTAAGGTTAAATTAAATATAAAAAATTCATTTGTTTTGTTACTTCGATATTTTTGTAATATTTTTGAAAGTGAAATCTAATATATATAAAGCGTATATTTCTGAAATTATATATTTATCTTTATGAGAAGGAATATGTAAATAAGCTAATGATTTGTACAAATATTACATATTTTGAATTCTATATGTGTTATCTATAGTACTAAAGCACTGTCACTTATTTGAGTGCGATTCATTGTTATATACAGTTATGATACATACCTTACCAAAAAAAAAGAAAGTAAAATTGTTTAAACGAGTTATATATATGATTGCTTTCTTAATTTTGATACTTCTATTAATTCTGCCATTGTTATTTACCAGTAACATCCAGTGTGTTAATAAAGCAAATAAAGTATTACAGATTACTTTTATATATTAATATTATTGCATTTTAGTAGGTGACATGCCTAGCAGTCGTGATATTGAAAGAGCTGAACGTAATGGAAGATTTCGAGCACGCAGAAGAGATAGTACCAGCAGTGATATAAATCGACATAGTTTTGAAGCATCTGATAAGAAGCATAGGAGGCATGGAAAAAATAAAAGTTCTGGGAAAAAGAAAAAGAAGAGATCAAGAGATAAGTCCATAGAGAATGTTCCAACTGTAGCTTCTTCCATTGTTAAACCTTTGGTTGAATATTCAGATGTGAGTAGCGAAGACTTGTCTGAACCAGAAGCTGGGGAAATTCAGTCAGAAGATAGTAGAGGTAATAGCTATACAGATGGAGAAGTACCTGAAACAGTTTTACAAAGACGTTATTATGGAGGGAGTCCAGTACGTGCACTTGGTGCATCTCCTATTAGTCTTTCGCCATCTCCACCAGTTCAGCATAGACATGTTAATAGACATTATTCGCCAAATGAACAACAACCATCTGCAATGCATGGTGGAACACCTGAATATGAAGAAGAGTCTAGACGATATGCAAGAAGAAAAGAGAAAAAACACAAACGAGAAAAAAAGAAGAAGAGAAGTCTTAGTCCTTCATCCAGTACTGGGAAAAAGAAAAAACGAAAGTCTAAAAGGCATTCTCATAGTCTGAGCCCACATCGCATTGCAGATGAAATTATCATAAGCCCCGAGCATGAAAAACCAATTGGAAATTGGTCAGAATCACCGCCTTTACCATTAAAAGATAGTACCTCGCCGATATCACCTGCTACACCACAAGAACAGAGGTGTTTAAGTGATGTAGAACTTGAAATAACAAGGCAACCTCGAAATGTAACTCCTCCATCACTTCCTCCAAGACCAACAGAATCACCCCATACCCCTTTATTACCTCCGAGAACGACGACGCCAGAGAATAGCAAAGCAAGTTTATCAACAATGAAACATACTCCTGAAAGACAAAAGCATAGTCCTAGTATCCATACGCGACGTAGTAGCATTAGTCCAGGGCCCACTATTAGCTCGAGTCGTAGGAGACCTCATAGTCCATCGCCACCATCAAGACGAAGGGACCATAGCCCAACGAGAAGAAGAGATTTTAGTCCAAGTCCAATGGTGCATAGACTTAGGCACAGTCCTAGTCCTTCAACAAGGCGAAGAGAATTTAGCCCAAGTCCTGTAAGTCACCGACGTAGAGATCCTGTTAATTCTCCACCTTCGAGTAAACGTAGACGACGTGAAGAATCTGAAAGACGACATAGACATCATGAAAAAGACAGAAGAGATAAAAGGAAGTCAAGATCAACTAGAAGTCCTACTGGAAACAGGTACTATTTATTACATGATATAACAATTCTAAATCATTTGTTTTGCTATTGAAAATAATATTTCTTTTTTTTAGGTTACATTTACCTCTTTCTCGTTCACGATCACGAAGTCCTGGACGATGGCGAAAGTTACAATCACGATCTAGATCGCGTTCACGGAGAAGAAGCCGTACTCCAAAAAAATCTCGTTCTCCTAGCAAGTCACATAAATCGACAAGAAAACACAAATCAAAAAGTCCACGTCCTTCGAGGATACCTTCTCCCTCTCCTCATAGATCCAGAGCAAGAAGCCCCTCAAGTATCACAGCAAGAAATCTCCGAGTACAAGCAAAGATTAGCGAAACTAGTTTATTTGCTGAACTCGTGAAAGATAGAAACATGAGGGAGTTAGCATACAAAAAGTTACAAGCAGCTAAGGAGAAGGCTGTTATTCAAGATGAAGTTCAAATTATAGAAGGCACTGATGAAAAAGATAGTAGTAGTGTATCTTCTGAGAACAAAGCATCCACAGACAATAAGGATAAGTACGTGAATCATAAAGACCAATTGAAGATAACAAATGAAAGTATGAAGCCTGTTGACCTTGTGGATATTCCTGTTCCAATATCGGATGACAATGGAATAGCAGGAAAAACGCCACCATTGCCAATTACACAAACTGTTAATGCACCAAATGTAATACCTGCAACTAATCAGCATATGTTTGTATATACTTCACCTACAACTACCACTAGTGTCTGTCCAGTGACTGTTACAAATAGTCCAAGTTTCCCAGCTGTTACAAATCTGCAAGCGCCACCATTGCCACAATCTGAGTCTGCAAATACAACAGGTTTAGTGTCTATGTCAGTGCCTATTCCTGTACCAGTACCTGTTCTCCCTAATTTATCTGTTCCACCGCCACCTATACCTATACCAGTTCCAGCACCAAATACAGCTATGTCTAAATTTAATCCTCCTAACAATCTAGTTCCTCTTAAGTCGGTAGATCCTCCTAAGCCTCCTATTGTAGCATTCAAAACTAAAAGTTTATCACGGTTACCATTACCACCTGGAATTAATCAAAATGATTTGGAGAGTATAGACTCACCACCGAGTCGATCTCCAAGTCCGCCTAGTAAGGCACAAATGAAATTCCCAGCTTCAACTACAAAACCACCGCAAAAAAAGAGTATTAAAGACTTACCTATGCCACCGGGTAAGTTTGTGATATAATAACATATGTAATTTTAACCTCATTAAAATAATATCTTTGTTATTATCTATTTCATTATCTATATGATTAATTGATGTGTAGTTGTTCCTGGATCAGAAGATTTAAGTGGAGAAGATGATCCAAATGCAACGCCTCCTCGTACAAAAGTTGAACGTGTACCACCAAAACCGAAATTAAAAAGACCAAAAATTTTGAAACGTAGAAGTTCTAGAAATTGTCATATGCCTATGTCGGCTTCGAGTGGTAAAGATTGGGGAGAACGCTCTGTTGACGTATTTGAAGTCATAGCTCAAATAGGAGAGGGTACTTATGGACAAGTTTATAAAGCTCAAGACAAACGAGCTGGTGTACTTGTTGCATTGAAAAAAGTTCGTCTGGAAAATGAAAAAGAAGGATTTCCCATTACAGCAGTACGAGAAATTAAAATATTACGACAACTCAATCACAAAAATATCGTGAATTTGAGGGAAATAGTTACGGACAAACAAGACGCGTTAGATTTTAGAAAGGTATTATATATATTAAAATATATAATATAGTGAGGATAGTATTGCATATTACAATATTATAGGACAAGGGTTCATTCTATCTCGTATTTGAATACATGGATCATGACTTGATGGGTCTTTTGGAGTCTGGAATGGTTGATTTCAATGAAATGAATAATGCAAGCATCATGAAGCAGTTATTAGACGGATTAA